AGGGCTTAGGGTTTAAGGTTTAGGGATTCGGGGTTTAGGGTCAGTGATTAGGATTAGGGTTTAGAGGTTTAGGGTTTAGGAATGGAAAGAAATGGAAACCACTACCTTGTACTGGCGTATGTATAGGGGTTATATATGGGTTGTATAGGGATTATGAAGCAAGAAATGGAAGCTACTATTAGGGCTTAAGGTTTCCCCAATTTAGAGGTACCTGATTGGGGGTCCCCAGAAGACTATGGCATTTTGGGGTCTATATTGGGGTCCCGCTATTCAGGGAAACTGCCAAGTAGTCAGTGAATCTTGCAGCGTTGGATGGCATCATGTCCTTCGCCACTGATGCCCCATTCCAGTGTTCAACCAAATATTTTCTAGGGTTCCGTTGAGCACTCACCGAAGTTTGTTATAGACATCTTGGGTTAGGCCCCCAACCACTAAAAGTGGTGTACTAGGAATATATAGAATCCCTAATATTATTACCATTGTCTCTTGTGGTCACTATTAATGGGTGGGGGCCAAACCTATAGACATCCAACTTTCTATGAGGCTTTGCGATCATCATGTGAATTTTGAAAGATGGGTTTTGGGGTTGGGGCTTGGGGTTTAGGCTTTAGGGGTTAGGGTTTAGGATTTAGGGTTTAGGGTTTCGGGATGGTTTAAGGTTGTGGGCAGGAACGGAATAAGTCTATGCTTAAACCAAAACCCTATTCTAATATCGTAGTTTCCAGCTTCTTTTCCATTATCCCTATATTTTACCATCCCTACATTCAGTGGTCTAACCCTAAACCCTAAGCCCTAAACCCTAAACCCTAAACCCCAAGCCCTAAGCCCTATAAACCCTAAACCCTAAGCCCATTCTTATTGTTACGGTTTTTCATGCTATTATTATTTCCCTGCTAAGAGCTCGAGGCGGGGAGTGGCCGATGACAGTGCCAACGCGAACAAACTGCAACCACGTGCCTGGCTCCAGACGTGATTAATGCCAGAGATCGGTTTAGGGTTTAGGGTTTAGGGTTCGAGGGTTTAAGGTTTGGGTTTAGGGTTAGAATTTCTTGGCTAGCTGTTGCAAAGCAACATTCATCCAAGGTCTTCTGCTACTATTGTGTTGCCAGCGAGATGATGGAGCAACCAAAGGCATGTGCCACCATCCTGTTGTACTTGTGAGTGTGTTGTCTTCCAAGGCCGCTTATTTGTGTAATTTCTAAAGCATCAGACTGCCAGGCGATGAAACGATCTAAATCCATGATACTGTGGATCCCTATATTTGGGTTCCGAGTATGATACGGGTCCCTATATGAGCTGTAGTCTATACTCCTTAAAGGGAGGTTACATAGGGGATTATATAGGGGACTACTCTAGGGATTATTAAGGAGGATGCTAGGGTTTTAGACTATAGCTCATATGAATCTCGCATTTTGAGAGCAGAAATGTAGGCTAACTCCCATGTGGGATTATTTTTATTATCACCGCCAGTTTTATTCGTACTACGATGATGATTACCTAAACCTTAAGCCTTAAACGATGATTCTTACTACTATTCTTATTACTATTGTTGTTATTGTTATTGTTGTTTTTACTCGTATTTCTATAACTATGATTCTTATTGTTGTTATTATTATTTGCTTGTGATTCCAACTGTTTTCGAAAGAGGCTTTGGCTTGTCCTCATTGCGGAGAGCGCATTGAGAAATTGAGGCGGGGTCTTAAGGGGTTATGTAAGGCTAGCTACCTTAGGGTTGGGGTTCTTTAGGGGTTATGTAAGGATAGGTACTATTGAGGGTTTATGGTTTACGGTTCTGGAGGGGTTTTTATTTATATAGGGGATGATATGGCCCTAAACCCTAAACGCTTAACCCTAAACCCTAAACCTTAAACCCTAACCCTAAACCCTTAACCCTAAACCCTAAACCCTTAGATTGTAGAGGCAGACATAGGGATAATGGACAAGAATATGGAAGCTACGTTTTAGGGTTTAGTTTTCGGATTGCATAGGGATTATATGTTAGGAGGATCCCCAACCCTGTAATAGTGACTATAATTGATAGTAGTAACTATATTAGGGTCCTCTTATATTCCTATTATACCATTATTACAGGGTGGGGAGGGTCCTCCTAAATTATATGTGATTTGCATAGGGGTTATACAGGGGTTACATGAGGGGTACATACGGATTATAGAAGGATTATATGGCTTGTGCATGGGTCGAGGTATGGTAATCGGGTGATGAAAGTAGTTCTAGAGTCGTTTGGGCTCCGTTTCCTGTCCTAAGGGAAGCCCAGGAGGTTATATAGGAGGTCGTATAGGGGATTATTTTGGATTATACAGGGTTTAGGCTGTAGGGCGTAGAACAGTTGCATGAAGCAAGCTGCCATTAGTTGCTATTCAGCACTGTGATCCGTCTGGCTGCAGGCATGCGCGATGAGGGACAGTGGCCATCCCCAGCGAGCATGTCTAAGTCAAAAGACAAAGCACCATGCAAATGCTTGGCTGATCCGCTATGACTTGCTCCACCTGGGAAACTGCAGGGTTTGAGCTACATGCTCTTTGAAGGCATGAATGCACATGGACTGGCTACAGCGTGAGTACATGTAGAGGACGGAGCCCAGATCTCGCTTTCTATCTGCAAGGAGCCGAACTTGAGCACTGAAGTGGCCGCAGCAAGCCTGCAAGCCGTGGCGCTGATTATCAACTACGGCAGAAGAAACAGCTCCACAAAGTACATCGCGTGGCTGCATGTGGCAGCTTATTTGCGGGATGAATGCTTCAATTTCGCCAGACGGTGATACAGGAGAACAAAATCGGGATGTCCGTTTCCCAGCTCGTGCCAACTCGACTCCATGGTGAGGTCTGCCCAAGTAGCCAGGCGGATTTACTGCGGCGCTCCTTGCAAAAAGTTGTTACCCTGCAGGGGCCATTTACAAGGGACCTGGGGCTACAGTTGCCTAAACCCTACACCCTAAACCCTAAACCCCTAAACCCGATCCCTATATCTGAGAGATTGCTTAGATGCTCACAGGCATGATCTGGTGAGGTGCCTCTGTGTGTGCATGTGTCTGACGTGATGGCATGCGTAGTCTACGTTGAGTAGTAATTTATTTGGGGATACTATGGTACCCAATATAGAGTAAGATTATATCCTCCTTTTGGGGTATAGTATTTTATATAAAGAAAATAATCTTACTAGTTTCAACCACAAAAACACCACTCACATGTTATGTTGATTATTTGAATTCAGTTCCAAACTTAACGAGTGGAGAGGCTGGTGGATGATGTGTTGAGAACGTTGCATCTGCTGAACATTTCCCTCAGAGGCACAGGGTAGAAAGATTTTGCTCTTTCTGAGCAGCAGCGGGAGCTTGCACGTCTCGGAAATCTCACGAGCAATGGCGGAGGAGCCGACTTCGACAACTGCAATGGAGAGCAGGCCAAGTTGTCGTTTCAGCTTTCCGGACCCTGACCCTGATCCCAGCACCAACCACATCAAAGTCGATGATGTCACTCGCATGAACCGTACAGCGGTGGGTGGGATCGTCTATGTGCGTAGTGCTGATGACATCAAGCATGCACTGGCAAGGGCAAGAGAGGAAGGAAGGCGAGTCGCCATCAGAGGGACAAAGCACTCAATGGGAGGCCAGTGCATGGCCGAAAACAGCATCGTCATCGACATGACCAAGATGGTTCGCATGAACTTTGATAGCGATGCGGAAACGGTCTCGTGTGAGTGTGGGTGCACCTGGGCAGACTTGATCCTCTACCTGAACCAGTTTGGCATGTCGCCGCGCACAATGCAGAGTTACTCAACCTTCTCCGTGGGTGGAACTCTAGCAGTCACTGGGTTGCTATTCAGGAACTTAATTCAAGTTATTATATTGGGGAAACCCTCTGAATTTCTATGTATTCCCATTATAGTAACTTACATTAAGTTCCTTAAGCTAAGCCCCAAACCCTAAACCCCAAACCCTAAGCCCCAAACCCTAAACCCCAAACCCTACATCCTAACAGCAACCCAGGTCAATGGCCACGGCATCACCACCGACTTTTGCCTATCCGAATGTGTCCAATCTTTCCAGCTGATCAAGGCTGATGGGCAAGAAGCTTAGTTGCGTTTAGGGTTTAGGGTTTAGGGTTTGGGGTTTAGGGTTTGGGGTTTAGGATTTAGGATTTAGGGTTTAGGGTTTAGGGTTTTTAGGTTACTGAGACTACAGCATGGAAATGTGGTGGATGATTGGGCTTCCTCATCATAGTAGTTTGGACTTAGATCCTCAAATCCCCATACAACCCCTGTCTAACTCCAGTTTCTATTCATTGTCCATTTAATGTTCCATTTGATTCTCCGCTACGGGTGTAAGAGCCCCATAAAAATCTCCATAAAACCCAAGTTTGCATCTCATTGTTCATATGACCATCTGTTAGATTCTCCATTGTTGTTGAAGCATCCCTACAGAGGCCGTATATCACCCCAGATTCCCTGTCATTTTCCATCATTTGAGCCCTCCGCCTCCCCCCAAATAGTAGTTTCCGTCTCATTTTGGATCTGATTTGCCATGTGATTCTGAATTCTGGAACCCTAAACCCTAAATTGGAACCCAGGAAGTTTCTTGCTCTCGTGGGGCTGATGGTGAAGCAAGGGAGCTCTTCAAACTCGCTCTTGGGGGGTACCTAGATTTGTTGGTTAAGGTTAAGGGTTTTGGGATTTGGGCTTAAACCCTAAACCCTAAACCCTTTAGGGTTTCATGAAGAAAGTCAAGTGGTGGGAGCTAGTGTGAGGGATGATTTATATAACTCCATATAACCCTAAAAGATAGTAGTTTCCATTTTATTTTCCATAGTTATCCCAATATAACCTCTATATAACTCCAATATTGTAGTAGTTTCAGTTTTGTTTTCCATTCATCTTTAGTAGGCTTGAGGCCCCTGACCAACAGCACGTGGCTTGGAGGTTTCGCAGTTTTGTCGTTGTTCTGGCTTTGGTGCGGCGCGCTCAGGTATGGTCTTTTCGGTGTAATGTGGGAGGTGACCATGCGTGTCGACCGCAACAGTCGCATGGACATGGAAGCTTTGCATCTGAGAGCGGACGAGTTTGCTCGATACTATGCCGCAGCACAGGCATCGGGGGATGTTGTCATGAAGCTGGCGCGACTCAACATCCTTGACACGAGCAACATTGACTTCTTCATTTTCAGGAGAAGCCATGACGAGGAGATCAAGTTGGTCTCCAAGTTGGACACGAAGCCACGAGAAATGTCCTGGCAGTCGAAATTGATGTACAAGTGGCTGATGCCCATCATGAAAGAGGTTCGGTATGCTATCGAAAAGAATTCTGGCACAGCTCTTGATTGGGGGAATGAGACTGAACGCAACCACATGCTTCATGAAAGCGCTGTTCCAATTTCACAGCTGTATGAACCCCTCTTTCAGATGGATGATACGTTTTTACTTCAGGAGTACTTCTGCCCTCGCAGTCAGTTTGAGTCCTGGATTAGCAGAACCAGGCACATATACGAGACACTGGCCGCAACCACGGAGGTAGTTCTTCTGAATACCACCATCCGGTTCGTAGAAAAAGACGTGGACGCATTTCTTCACTATGCCAAGCACGAGGGAGGCATGTTTGCCTTCGTTTTGTACTACCGCCTGCCGCGTACTGCTTCAGCTGATGCAAAGATGCAAGAATTCCATCACATGTTTGTGAAAGAGACGCTGGCTCTGAAAGGAAGTTTTTACTTGCCTTACCGTTCCATGGCTCAAATAGAGAGTTTTTCAATATGGTAGTCTCCCTAAGCAGGGGAACCCCAACATAGACCACCAAATATTATGATCCAGATTATTGGGGTTAAAAGGTACCCCTTCCATTGTCTTTTCCTTTTTCTTTTCCATTATCCCTATATAACCCTGATATAACCCTACTTATTCCCTAGTATATTGGAGTAGTTTCCATTTTCTTTTTCATTGTTCCCTTAAGAACCCATGTGTAGGCAGATGTAGGCATGATTTTCTGTTCTTCCTCAATCTTCTCTGTGTCTGTGATGCCGGCTAGGCTGTCATTACAGCCACGAGCAGCTCGAGGACGCCTACCCCCAGATAGAGGCATTCTTCGCCAAGAAGGAGACCTATGACCCCCTGGGTTTGTTCGACAATTTATGGTTCCGGCATTATGGCTCCAAATACCTGTCACTTAGGGGTACTTGGAAATAATTTTTTCCTTTTGCTTATTATACTTATTATACTCCTAAGGAACAGCAAGAATTATGATGTTTCCTGGGGTTCCAAGTTCACCATAGGTCAGCGCAATACCGCACATCGTTGTTGTCGCCACCGATTGCTACAGGTTCGATACCTGCAGCCAGGACTCCAGGAATTCTTGTTTCTGAAGTGCCCAGTCGTCGTGCCAATGCTTTCCGTGAGTTGTTATCCAGCCCATCGCTGCGTCGGAACTTCAAAGATGGATTCCTGACCCAGATCTTCAACGTGACTTACTGGGGGTTAGTAGGGAATAAATTCCCAATAGAAACCCTACATGATCTATTCCCCTTTCCCCGCTAATAAACCCTAGAAAAAAATAGTCATTTCCATTTTCTCTTCCATTATCCCACCATGAGCTTATATTATACCCCTATACTCCCTCATTCCCTACTAACCCCGACATAACCCCATATTATACCCCTATACTCCCTTATTCCCTACTAATCCCGAGTAAGGTGATGGATAATGAACAGCTTTTCCGGATGATGCTCAAAGCTGCGCGAGATCCTGAACCCGGCAGGGAATTAAGGAAGGGAAGCAAGAACGCAAACCGTTATATTAAGGGGGATGACATGAGCTATAGTCTAAGCTCCTGAAAGAGGGTTCTATAGGGGATTATGTAGGGGAGCCTTATAGGGGTTACTAAGCAGAATACTCGGAGTTTAGACTGTAGATCAAATACGGGTGACTGTTGGGATCGATTCCTTGGTTCCCTGCTTAGAACAAGTAAGGACAATCGAGATGATATTGAGATCTATCGTGCTTTGCAGCGGCAGCTGAACGAGTCCGGCGGCCCCGTTGCTGCCGCCAGAAAAATGTGGAAGCAGCTGAATCAGGTAGGGATTATATTGGGGATTATGTAGTTGAAGGGTTATACAGGGGTAATGGAAAAGAAAATGGAAGCTACTATTTGAGGTTTAGGGTTTAGGGTTTGCCAAAATTAGTGGTGTTTCTCAAGCTCAGAGGCTCCCAGGGGCTCTAGGGATATGCTTGGGGTAGAATGGAAAATCACATGGAAAATAATAAAATGGAAAGTGGGATTGTAGGATAGTTTATAGGGATTACAGGGGGTCCTTGGGGTCCTTAAGCCCTGAACCCTCCTCGTTAGAGATAATACAGGGACTGTTGTGCAAGCAGCTGAATCAGGTGGGTGGTTGTCAAAATTGTGGTCCATTTTTGGATCCCTTTTAGAATACGGCACCTAGTATTCAGGGTGCCCAAAAAGGACCATAATTTTGGCAACCACCCATATAACCCGTTATAGTAGTTTCCATTTCCTTTGCCATTATCCCCCATATAACCCCAATTTAACCCCAATATTACCTAATGGTTACCCCGAACCCTAAACCCTAAACCCTAAAACCCCAAACCCTAAACTATAATCCCCAATATAATCCCTTCAAGGAATCTGGACTGTAGGTGTCGGCGCAAAAGGCCGAGTTGACCAGAGAAGTGTGTTCTATTGTGTCCCACCTCGGGAAGTTTCTGGGTTGCTGTTAAGGACCATAAGGTTTTGAGTTGAGGGCTTTAGGGTTTAGGGATTTAGTGTGTAGGGTTTAGGGATGTAGGGTTTAGGGTTTCTGAGTTGCTGTTCAGGAACGAAAATTAAGGTACCACCATATGGGTATATAGCACGTAATAGGGTTTCCTTATTGTAGTAACTTAACTTAAGTTCCTTGACAGCAACCCAGGTTTGGGCAGTTGCACGACCTTCTTTCGATTGGAGATCCTGGACGCACGGTGCTATCTCTTCGCAAGGCTTTGCACATGAAGGGGCAATGCTGGGTTGCCCATGACACTTTTTCCGATGACCTGCCTGCTGTGATCGAACGTGGCTCTCTGGATCCGGTTGGTGCTCAAGTGCACTGGCAGCTGATGGACGCGGGTCCCTTCCAGGGAGTTCCTGATGACTCAACGGATTTGGTGACCATGATGCAAGGCCTGCATCACATACCTCAACAGCTTCTGCCTCAATTCTTGGCAGAGGTGGTCAGAGTGCTGCGTCCAGGAGGCCTCTTCATCGTTCGTGAGCATGATGCGTCCCCATCCTTGATGCCTATGCTAGACCTGGCCCACAGTGTCTTCAATGCTGTCATGGGTGTCACTGACAAGGAAGAAGAAAGGGAGCTCCGAGCTTTCAGACCTGTGTCAGAGTGGAGGAAGATTCTGGGTTGCTGTTAAGGAACTTAATTGAAGTTACTATATTGGGGGAACCATATTAATTATTATATATACCAATTATGGTAACTTTACTTAAGTTCCTTAACAGCAACCCAGGATTCTGGAAAGCACAGGCCTGCAGGACTCCATGTGGGGGCCTCAGTGGTGACTTCTTGTTCCCTGAGCCCTGAAATTTGCCGTTCTCTACAAAACGAAACATGTCATAGCTCGCCCTGAGGCTGTTTGAGATGGAGCCCTACGATCCCACTGTGGATGAGATGATGTGCTTTTACAAGCCGCCTTTGTACCCCGAAGTCAAACCCTCCAAGCCGGCGCAACCCGTGGTCGATCCACCAGCAACGGAGTTGATTCATCTTCCAGATGCTGCGGCTTCCTTCATGGAGGCAGCTCCCAAGGTCTTGTTGCAAGGAATTTTCGATGCCATTGATGGCCTCCTGGACACATTGCCCGCGGCAGTGGCCATCTTCAAAGAGAGGATGAAAGCATTCAGCAGTGGACAGCAGCTAATAGCACAATCACTCGTGGATCAAATAGCTGAACCTGTCCTCAAAATCTTGCAGAATCTGGGTTGCTGTTAAGAAATTTGAATGAAGTCACTACAATAAGGAAACCATATAACACCAGTATAGTAGTTTCTATTTTCTTTTCCATTAACCCCATATAACCCCAATATATACCCAATAATCCCCACATGCCTCCTATAAAATCCTTATATTATATGGGAACCCTAATACTTACTATACCCTAAACCCTAATACTTACTATATCCCCTAATCTAGTATCTTAAATTAAGTTCCTTAACAGCAACCCAGAAACCCTAGAACCCTACATCCCTAGAACCGTACATCCCTAAACCGTAAATCCCTAAACCCTATAGCCTTAAACTCAAAACCTTATGGTCCTTAACAGCAACCCAGGAATTTGCGGCCGTATGTGGAACACGTGGACCTCGCAGGACCAGCAGACTCAGGCCTCCACAGTTGCTTACTCGTTTAGGGGTTCAGGGTTTAGGGGCTTAGGGTTTAGGGTTTAGAGTTTTAGGGTTTAGGATTTGCTAGTAGGGTATAAGGGAATGTGAGCTATAGTCTAAACTAAGGGATTATGTAGGGGACTGCTCTAGGGGTTATTAAGGGGGATACTCGGAGTTTAGACTATGCCTCATATAATCCCTAGTTAATATATTCGCTCATGTCCTCCATATTACCCCGATACAGGCCTTACATAATCCCATATTGTAGCCCTATGTTACACTCTAAACGGTAAACGCGCATATTTCCTACAAACCCTAAACCCTAAACCCTATACCCTAAATCCTACACCCTAAACTCTAAACCCTAAACCCTAAAACCTAAACCCTAAACCCTGAATCAGTAAGGTTTGATCCCGCCGGAAGTTTCATTGGTGGTCCCCGCCTTGATGAGAAAGGTCCAGACTGGCCAGGCAAGTCCTAATGAGATGTTTGCCGCAGCCGTGATCAAGGACTGGTTTAGGGGGTCAGGGTTTAGGGTCTAGTGCTCAAGTTTTAGGGTTTAGGGTTCAAGACCCGGAGCCTGTGTAGAATATCTGGAGTGCATAGGGCAGTCTCTTTAATTAGGAGTTGCTGATGCTAACGCCTTATGCTCCTCGTTTCGTATCGTTTGTCAGTCTCATCGGGCAAGCAGGACATTCTGGACACGCTTCAGGGCAACAAGGAGGACGTCCAGCAGAAGACGCAAGAGGTTGGACCTTTGTAAAGAAAGATCCGGACAAAACAAACAAGCCCGCAACCAAGCAAACCAACAGACCAACCAACCAACCAAACAAACAAACCAACAAACAAACCATTATTTTTGATATATATATATGTATTTGTACTCATATGTCTATGGATATAGTGGGCGGAGGTGGGCGGAGGGGGGCTTGCTGCTACTGGGGTAAATTGTAGGCCGGGGTCTGGATCCAACTGATTTACGTTAGGGTTCAGGGTTTAGGATGTA